CCCACACTCCTCAGGAGATGAGAGAAAATGTTTTTCTCCCTGAGCCTGGCCTTCATAATTCCATTCCATCACAGATATCAACAGCAGGAAACACACTCTTCAAACACTTTTGATTGTTGCATGGCAGAAGAGAAAATAAAAGCCCTGTTGGCTCAGAAGAGAGTCCTATCTAGGCTGCCTTCTTGGGGAAGGTATTGGAGAAGGTGGTAGGACTGCCCAGCTGGAGGGGCAAAGAATGTTGGATGAAGCGGCTGATCGACATCCGTTTCAGTCAGGCTTCAAAGGGGACTGAAACAGCACTAGTTGGTTCTGAGGATGCTTTCATTGGGACCAGGCTGGGAGGAGCTGTCAGTGGTGTTCAGTACCATCAGCCGTGGTATCTTTCTGGACTGCCTGCAAGGGTTGGGAGTGGGAAGCACTGTTTGGCCTTGGTTCCAGTCTGATAATGGGAGATGAGCAATTGAGCTCATGGGCATTCTGTGTGATGCTGTAGTGCTCACTCCTTTCCTAAATGGTTTCATATCTACATGAAACCACTGGGTGGTTTGGATTGAGGTATCATCCTAACAATTATATATCCCCACCACCCTTTTTCCAGACTGGGGGTGGGGGTAGGGTGGGAATTAAAACTAATTCCTAGCAAGACAGTTGCTTTCTGTTCAGAAGCCACGAGGTTTGGTGGTCACCCCTGATCTGGCTCTAGATGGAGTGGTGTTCTCCCTGAAAGCAGATCTGCAATTTGTGGCTTCTGGATTCACGGCTTCTACTTGATCAGCAGCAGGGAAGCCTTTGCCCAGCTTGGGGCTGCCTTTGAAGACTACCCAGAAACTTCAGCCAAAGCCAAGACCTCACCTTGCGTTGGTCGCCACTAGATTTCCAAGTGCAAATTTATTGTGAGCCGCCCAGAGTCACCCGTGGGGGAGATGGGCGGCATACAAGGCAAACAAACAAACAAACAAATAAATAAATAAATCTAAGTGCTGATCTTGACCAATTAAACTCTGTATGGCTTGAGTCCATGTTTGTCTACAGGACTGCCTTGTCCAAGTAAAATGTGCCCGCACTACAATCAGCCCAGGAAGCGATGCCTGAGGATAAGGGGGGGGAGGGGTTGGAAGCAAGCTTTTTCTATGATGGCCTCATCATTCAGGAATACTCTAGCTCCAAGGGCCAGGCCGCCCTTGCTCTTAGAATTGAGGAAAGCAGTGAAGAAGTTATTTTGGCAGTCTCGAGGTGAGGGAGAGGGTTTAAGATGCCTATCACATTGTTGCTTTTTAAAGATGCTGATTTTATTATTTTTAAAAAATGATATATATATCATAGTTTTATGTAAGCTGTCTGGAGTTTGTGAAATTGGGCAAGAGATAAATTATGTAAGTAAAAGAAGGCTCAGTCAGTTGGGTCTGAAGAGGCTCGGTCCCTCTCCTGTGGGATCAAAGAATAAATCAGGAGTTTGTGCTTTCATAAGATTTAAGTGGTAGAGAATGTTTTCTAGGCTACTGTTTTGGACTTCCAAGGGCAGCTTGTGCATATGTAGTCTGCCTTCCTGTTGAACAAAAAGCAAGGAAGCGTTCCAGCTAAACATCTCTCTAAAGGGTTGTCTCTGTACAAGGCTGTTTTTTAAAGCAAGCTGCTCATGGCAAGCAGCCATATGTCCTTGATATGCTGGAGGCCAGAGTGGTAGAATAATGCTATCAAATGTAAAAACTGATTCTTTGAGCAAAAAAAAAAGAAAGCCTTACCGCTTGGCGCAGTTTCTCGATCGTGTCTGCACTAGATAACTCAGGAGGGATAGTGAGCAGGCCGCTATCTGGAGGAGGAGAAACAGGCAGAGTTGATGAAGGCCTCACATTCAGCCTTCTTATCAACTCCTTCCCCACTTTGAGGAAGCATGATGCAGAATGTTACCTGTCCCAGGTGAAGGGCTGCTGTAGTCCGGTCCTGAAGGGCCAAGGCGGAAATTGAAAATAGGTTTGTCTGAACTGGACCCATCCTCAATTCCATCTACAACTCTTAGAGAAGAAGAGGAGGGGTGAAAAATCAGTAAGAGTTGGGAAAACGGAGATATGCATAGAGAAAGTTGCATACATGTGCTTCAACTGCAACCTCTTGATTGCCAACATGGGAAAAGACATTTTGACGGGTGTCCCCATTCCCAAAGCTGGTTTTCCCCTTCTTTCCATCCTGGGACCTTACCTGGGGCTGAGATCTGGAGGACCGCTGCAGGGCACACTGTGCAGCCGCAATGCTGTGGGACGCGAGGATGTTTCTGAGGCCAGGTGGCGTGGAATTTCCGACCGTGTGGACGGATGGCTGTGGCCCCCCGAGGAAGAGGGGAGCAAGGGGCTGGCGGGCTCATCCACTACTTCTGTAGGCAAGCAGGGTGTTCTGCGGCGTGGGGGAAATGAAATCTCTGTGTCCTTCACCACTGAAAGCAAAGTGGCCGGTTCCCTGCTGCTCGGTGGCGGTGACTCTGCCTGTGGTGGAAGGAAACACTGAAGGAACTCTTGCCTTGTCCATTACAGCTGCCTTCCTCTCTATAATGGAAAATGGGTAACATATATTCTTCCAATTGGATTCTCCATCTCATTGGTAAATGATTCTCTTTGCCAGATCCCTTTCAAAGACAATGTCTGTAGAAGAGAGTCCTTATTGTGATTACCTTTCTTTTTTCCATCTCAGGCTTTTTAGAAACAAGGGTTCAGAATCCACTTGATTTTTTTTCTTGGACTAAGGCTGGTTTGGATCTGGAATCATTTCTATAGACATTGGGAATTAACAGCCTCAGTAGGACATCCTGGGCAAGCT